TACGCTATCTGCTGACAAGTTAAGAGTTTATCACTTACCTTCTGAAATGCAACCTAGTGTAAAATTTTACCAGTCTAGAAGATTTGTACAAAGCCTAATAAAGTTAAAGCATGATTGCCAAAAAAAAAAAAAAACAATTGTCAGTAAGTTGATTGGATCTCTCTTTATAAAGATATTTATAGTTATTACTAGTTAAATGTTTTGCACATATAATTATACACATTCGTTTCATAATTTCTGACAAACTATTCTATACTCCCATTACCATGAATTAGAGCATTGTAACATAGTTTAGAGCTCAATTTAGCTCTAATAACTCAAACTAAGTCTTTTTAAATCTTCTTTTATGCTTTCTACAATTAGGTTCTGGTAGTTTATTGTGTAGATTCGGATTAGTTAAGCCTTAGTTCATGTCTGTGAGGCCATTTTTTGATAGTAGGGTTTGATTTAGCCTCTCACAATTGACAAATATATTTGTTTTAGAAAATGTTGGACAACTCCAATACATAATAGTTATTGCCTAGAGTATAGCAGAGAATACTGTTTTTACATCTATATTTGATTTACACTGTCATCTCTGATTGGTTGGGGAGCTTCCAGAAATTATGTAATATTTTGTTATTAATAAAATTTAAAATTTCTACCCACCTACTCACACCTGATACTTTATTAGCCAATCAAATTGTATAAAAATTTTAATAGTATTAATTAATAAAAATTTTCAAATTTATATAACTTTTGATCTATTAGACTAATTTGGATGATTTAACTACCAAAATGATCCCCTAACAAAGTTGATTCTAACAAATCCAAAATCATTAAAATCCACTTACAGAATCACAAGATAGATAATTTTTTATATTATTTAAATACATATAAAATAATACAAAATATTGAATATTTTGTGATCTTATAATTGAACTTTAATGATTTTAGACTTGTTAAAATCCTCTCATTGAGAGGATCATTTTTGTAGTTAAATCATCTAAATTGGTCCAGTAGGTCAATCGTTATTCAAGTTTAAATATTTTATTATTATATTATATACTATAATTTTATAATTTTGGCCAGAATTATAAATTTTGACCAGAATTATAACCTGATATTTTGGGGACCCCACCCACCTACCCCAAAATTACATAATTTCTAGAAGCTCTTTTGTCAATTATGAGCTTATTAATATTTTAATAATAGCTTTGGACACACAATACTATTGTATTTTTAGTATATATTATAAATAGTTTTGAATTCAGATAAATAAATATCAGGTATATAACTAAATACTGTATAATTATATTTATATCAGTATAATTTAAACATCATACGATTTTTAGATATATATAGTATAGAGTGAGAATACCTTTTTAAAAAATATATAACAATTCATTACAATTTTCTAATGATAATAGATAATACCAGAATTGATATTAAAAATAAGGTATTTCACACTCTATACCACACAGACCTGTTCATAATAATCTGCATAAGTTAGAAATGTTTTTGGCAGATGATAATTATACAAACTAATGTGAATATAAAGCTAAATAAAACATGAATAGCTCATATGAAAAACTTAGACCAATTATACTAATGAATAATTACTAATCTTAGATTAAAGATGCTCTCAATGTGATTAGATAGCTATTGAGATTATGCATAAGTACTATGATTAATTGAAGCGATCTCTAGAGTAATTTTGTTGAAGTCTGACAAAAAAAAAGATAGTCTACTACTTTCTACTAGAAATGGGAAAATGTGCATTTTATAATAATATATGCATGAATGCATATTAATATGCACATTTCATATAATATAACTTTTTTTGATTTTATATCCTCTAGAAAATATTGAATATTTGCCAAAATTTTTTCTGACTCTTCTCATTTTTATTTTTATCCATTTACTTTTTCAGAATTTTTCAAAACTTCTCATTTCTATTTCTTAATTTTTCCTAGCATTATACACTTTGGCCTAAATTAAATATATATTAATTTTTCTATATATAATTTAGATAGGATAAAATGTACATGGTTCTGAATTATGCGCATGAATACACATTAATGCGCACAATTGAAAAATTATATACATGCATGAAACCTATCTCTACTTTCACCAATTAATTATTAAACTCTGTCTATAATTTATATGCTTGAGAGGACCTTTAAATTATATAAATAAAAATTGAAATAAGAAATTAATTAATATATATATTGATCAATATTGTTTAATTGATTAAATATATAAGAAAATACTTACATAATTGAAATATAATATAAAAACCTGGCATTATATGACAGAGTTTGTAGACAAATTTCAATCTATTAAAGATTTTCAGAGTTATTAATACTTGTATAAATATTATATTGCTTTAAATTATTATTACTATAGCAATACAATAAGGCCACACAAAGTAAATTTTTTATTTAACATTACATAAAATATGAAAATTGGGTCAGTTAGTCGATTTTATTTTTTTAAAAAAAATCTACTTTAAATAAATAGTATTATGTTCGTATATTAAAGTTATACAAAGTTATTCTTTTTTTGCATAATAATGAATTAGAAAATTGGGTTGGCTGTTATTTTTTTCTGTTAGTTTTACTGAATAATTCTGGGATATCAGGTGATACTAGATAAAAATTGCAGAAAAAATAAATAGCAAAAATCAAATAATTAGCACAATTGAGATATAAAAAAAAAAAATTAAAAAATGGGTCAGCAGGTAATGTTAAATGAAAAATTATTTAATGCAAAGCTTATTGATATTATTTACTACAACTTGAGTCACGGCCAAGTCATGCTTTAGCTATAACACAAGTTATGGCTTCAATGATTATAGTACTTGCAGCTGATACTGAGTCATAGCAACACCAATTTTTTACTGAAAGATCTCTAAATTCAAGGTCAGAATGGCCAGAATCCATCGATATAAAATTAAATTCACATAAAATTTTAGCTATGACTTTTATTGTGAATTCTTTAATATTTTAATCTAAAAATTACTTAGAAGTCACAAGACTGAGAATCATTTTTGCTATTCTTATTTAGTTAAGGTTGAATTATCTAATTTGCATGTCACTATTTTATGTATTGATAATCAAGAAAACAATTCTAGCCATAGCAAAAAAATTTGGGTCATGTGACGATCTGCAGCAAATTAGCCAATAATGATTTCTAGTTTAGCATAATCAGAAAATTCAAAACAAATATTCGCTTTAAAGAAAATTAGAAGAAATTACTTATTTCTCGACAAACTTCAGAAGAAACAACCTTCTAATGGCCCTGGACATCTCTAATATAGGTCATATTTGGATTTTGGCCAATTTGACCTAATTTGATAAAAACTAGAATTTTGCTTTTTCTTAAATATCTCCGGATCCAGTAATTAGAATCGAATGAACTTTTTTTTAAAAGAAGCACATCACTGAGGGCTTTCATTTAAAAAAATTTATCCAAATTGGACTGCTAGTTGCTGAGATATTTACAAAAAATGATTTTTTGCTCCCCAAATTTACGGGGGTTTTGCTGAAAAGTTCCAATATGACACATATCCTAGATGTCTGGGGTCCTACCTTCTGAATACAACAAAAAATACCAGGAAGGTAATTTTACCTATAGCACTCACTTACCCTAACTCTTACCCTAACCCTAACCCTAATCTAAATAAACTTAAAGATTTTAATTAATTATTATGTGACCTGAATTTTTTTTTGCTATGGCTAGGGTATCTGATGATCAATTCATAATGACATTAATTCGAATGATCAATAATTGCAAATATTGTAATAATTACTCAAACCATAATGATCAGCAGAAATATCCCAAAATCACATGACCTAATGAATGTTTATGTTAAATCTAAGAACCGATTTTTGTGATTTTCATATGAAAAAAAGACTTTGATGTTTTTCTTTCTTACCTTATACTTTTAACATAAATAAACTTGACAGTATAACTGTTATAAATGTAAGCTCTGAAACTTTGTTTTTATATACAAATAAGTCATACTCAAATATATACTCTGGTCTAAAAGGATCACAGGCCCAAAGGTCAATGAAGCACACATTATTATTGTATGTAACCTTTCAGTTAAAAAAATTTATGAATATTCAGATGATTAAAATATATTGAATTCGATCTATTTAAACTAAAATAAATCATAATATTTATATTTAAATTATTTTAGATAATAAATTGTATTTCTAATGTTTTAAAGAGTTAAAAGTTAGATTCGATTTTACATATTTTTTGAAAAAAAATTTATTTAAGGCAGTTTATGATAATTTTACAATATTATATATATTTTGAAAGAATAATAACAATAAATTTAGTATTTATTCTAAACCTACTATAATTATTTTTACTACAAATTTGTTGTATTTCAAAAACTGTTATTTAATAAAAGGTAATATTCTTAGTTAATATTCTGATAAACGTTTTAATAAAAAATTTTAATTTACTATCAATCTATTTAATTAATATTAATAATTCTGTTTATGTAATTTTCAGAACTCTATAATATATAATGGATGGCTTACTTGAATATATGAATAAAGAATATTTTGAATATAATAATTCTGATGTTGATTATGTGATTATTGATGATAATGAAAGTTACCTTAAAAATATATCTGAATACCATCAACACCAAAAACTACAACAGAAAATACAATTTCAGACAATGATTATGTTATTAAAGAATTTATTTTTGATGAGGCTGCATTAAACCATGCAAAAAGTTTAGTGACTAATTCTTCTAAAAATTCTGGATTTAGAACAAAACAAACTAGATATTGATTGGTTAGTATTGGACAATGATACACTATCAGTAATAGAGTTTATGTGGACTTCAACTACAAATAATAATCATATAAATGATTATAAACTAAGTGAAACTAATATTAATAAAGATAGTAGTCAATGTGTTGTTATTGATTATATAGAAGGGTATCTTTAATGTTATTCAAACAGTGTATGTAGATCTATTAAACAACTTATGGGGATTTGGGAATTAAGTTTTGAAGCAGTAGATGTAGCAATCAAATCAGGAACAACAGAAGCATTAACTGCTTTAGGTGTATGTTCAACTCATTTTAGTTTCAATCAAAATAAGCTTCACAAAGTTGGGTCAAAACATCAAATATCAATTACAAAAAGTTAAATTCATAAGCAAAGGTGTATGTTTTGCAGTTCAGACAAATATTTTTTAGCTGAGGAGGATGCTATACTCAGTACTTATAAAAATTTTTGGACAAAATATTAATATTCCATGTGCTGGATTAAAAATTTGTCCTGTATTAATTGAAAATAATAGATTTACCAAATCTTCTACAAGTTAAATACAATTAAAATATATTTGTTCTCATTGTTTTAATAGTGAAGATGGCTATTTTTTTTAGTGTAAAAGAAAAAATTTTTCAAAATTTTCTTGTGATGAAATACATAAAAAAAGATAATCAACACTCACTTAATCTGTTAGGATGATAGATACAAAAGATTGCAGTAAATTAAGATCAACAATTACAGGCTATTCTTTTAGAGGAAATTTGGCCTGCTATCATTAAATTTTTTGATAGAAAACCTAAAAATTCAATAGATAATGAAGATGTAAATCAAAACTTAAAGCAAAACTGCCATCATATTTTGCAATCAAAGTAGCATTTTGTATAAAAAAAGTAAATTTATATAGATTAAAAGAAAAAAGTAGATTTACTGATTTTATAAAAAATCAATCACAAGGACTAAGAAATGCTTTAGTTGAAGTTATTTGGCGATCAAGATCTGAGGTGTGTTCACAAAGAAAAGTACTTGAAGCACCAAATACTCTTAATGAGTTTTATGAAGGTTTTTCTAAACCAATCAAAGAATTCTTTGATAATTTTGTTATTTTTATCTTACAAAAAAATGGGAGGTAGTGCAAAAAAACAAATACAATGTGGGTTTACTTTAACAAAATTTGATACAACTAGAGGAAAAAAATTTTAATTTTTATATTGTCATTAGTATTTTCTATAGCATTTCCAGGCATTAATATTTGGTTTCCACTTGTTATGAGTTCTTTTTGCTAAAAGCCAAAGTTACTGAGTTCATTATATGCTATATTATGTACTGCAAATATAGTTTTACATACTAATTATTATGAAAGAAAATTAGAAAAGCAAAGAATTAACAATATTGATATTTCAAAAAGATTACTACATGGTGAAGATATTTGAAATTTATATATAATGGATAATATAGACATGTAGGAAAGTATATTTGCATATGATAATATTTTTGAAACACCAAGGTATACAGCTCATGCCACTCTTTGAATAGTTTTACAGTTTAAATTACCTAAGTCTTTATCAGATATTGCTGCAGAATGCAAATCAAAATCTGTTTCTGGTGCTGGTTATAAATTTAAGATTTGGATATCTGATTTTGCAAATACTGTATTTTTGTGTAATAACGCACATCTGTGTATTATTTCGAGCAACTGTGTGTTATTTTGAAATGCACATGTGTGATATTTCAAATTAATATTGCCAAATTTTAATAAACATGTGACTATAATTATATTTATAGTGAAACTCTTAGAGAAGGGAGTGCGTTATTTAGGGATACATGTGTGTATTATTTTTGAGTCAAATAGATAATTTTAAAAAAAGTAGCAATTTTGAAATAACACACATGTGTGTTATTACATAAAAATACGGTAATAAGATCCAAAAATATGAAGATATTTTTAATATCTTTTTTAACTCTAATAATAACAATTATTTGAATATTTATAAATTTTGGCAAAAAATGAAAAAGGATATTCAATTGGAATGTAAGGTAGATTTAATAAACTTAATTATTTTAGAACCTGGAAAAATCCATGTAGTGATAAAAATGTTCATAGTGCTGCAAGAATGTATTATGATAATATTGAACTTGATTGTAATGAAGATATTTATTTGGCTTGTGATGAAGCTATATTTCGACGGCTTGTAAAATTAAATAAACATCAACCTGAAATAAGTTTATTATTAGAAGGGTGGCATATATCAAAAATAATATGTGCTATATTACTTTATCTTTTTTCTGGATATGTTATATATAGTTTAGTAGCTAAGTTAGGAGTAACATATTTAGATAAACTCGAGAAAGTTGTTAATTATACAGCTACTTGTGTTTTAGAGTTAATTTGGATTGCAATTGGAGGTGCTCTTAGTCAATATGCAAAACAATACAACAAACAAATAAATAGTTTAATTAATGAAATAATAATGTAGTAAAGGTTTGGTATTTATTTTTTTGTTAGACAGGTTTATGGATAGGCCATAAGCTTGGAATACAGCATGAAAATTATGAAATGCAAATAGAATATCTTACTGCATTTGCTCTACTTTTTCCTGTAATATGATATAGTAATTATACTCAGTTTGTAACACATTTTTTATCATCTATTGAAAAAAATCCTGTTTTACAAAAAATACTTAAATATATTAGTTCAGTAAATTTAACTTGCCCAGGTCACTATTTTGTCTATGATGAAGCTATTGAAAGATTTGGGGTCAAATTCATTAAACAAAACATTAGTTCAATATTTTGGTTAGCTGAGGATTTAAAATCAAAGATTATTTCTCTACAAGCTGAACAAGAATGATTAATTTTACTTTTAAGTGACTATATTAATGAATATTCATTAATACCAGTTGATCAAACTACAAAATCTCATGAAGAAGCACTTCAAAATGTAACTAATTTATTAGTAGAAGCATTTAATCTATCTGATTATACTAAATATAAGCTTTTTAGTAAAATATTCCAGAATACTGATTTAGGATTTAAAAATCTATTTGAATGCTATAAACATAGTATTAAACGCTTAGAAAATATCTTTAAGCAAGATATTGAGAAATCTGAAAAACATAATACAACAGGTTGACATGCTCAAGATGTTGCTATAAAGACTTATTTATAACAGCAAAAGCATCAAAAAGAACAACAATAGCAAAAGCGTCAAGAAGAACACAAAAAAAGCGGCAAAAAGAACAAAAAAAAAACTTAAAAAAATGAAAAATTAATAATTAAATAGTATCTAGAATCTTAGAATTTCACAAAAATTTTATTAAAATTAAGTATAAATAGATTTTTGTTTTAATATGTCTTGATAAATTTTTTTTTTTTTTTTTTTTTAATTTTTTGACAGTCTTGTCAGTGCTCAAATACAAATTATATTACTATTAGACTAAAAACAAAGTTT